ACACCTCTATCATTTAGCATATTTTTCAGATATTTTCTCCGGCCAGCAATAGAGGTGTCAGAAACCCTATCATCTAGCATATTTTTCGGATATTTTCTCCGGCCAGCAATAGAGGTGTCAGAAATTCTGACACCCCTATCATTTAGCATATTTTTCAGATATTTTCTCCGGCCAGCAATAGAGGTGTCAGAAATTCTGACAACCCTATCATTTAGCATATTTTTCAGATATTTTCTCCTGCCAGCAATAGAGGTGTCAGAAATTCTGACAACCCTACATCAGTTAGCATATTTTTCAGATATTTTCTCCGGCCAGCAATAGAGGTGTCAGAAATTCTGACAACCCTACATCAGTTAGCATATTTTACAAATGTTCATGTATTTTGCAGACAGCAAATTTAATTCTGTTAAAATTCAGTTATTTGGATACAAAATGAAATATTTTTTCACTAGTCCACACATTTAAGGAATTAAAAGATAAATTTTTCAGTTCTTCGCACAATTGGACTTGAAAAACAGAGTTTTATTACTTTTTGGGTTAAACCAATATTAGTTTGCACAAAGTATAAAAATGTAGCATAAAAATGGGCTAGAAATCTTGGTAACATTTCATACACTTAAAATAAATGTTTTATGCGAATACATTTTCGGAAAAATTTAGCGGAAAATAACAAAAATTTGCTTCAAATTCCTTCGAATCCGCATAATATCAAATTATTTTAATATTTTGCGGGAAAATTACGTAAATTCCGCACAATATAGCAAATAATACTCAAAATAGGCATTTTCGAATTTCTCAAAATTGTTTGGAACGCGTTTTAAGTTCTCGTTATTTTATTGGCTGATTATCGCCATGGGCCATTTATCATTTATAGACCCAAACAAAACCTCGAGGACACCATATTTTTTCATAGCTATGCTAAGCGTGGTCTCCACGCGCGACGCGGGTGATATTATATATTATAATATAGCATTTGCAGATTCTGAACGCTGATTGGCTAAGATCCGTGTTGATATAACTCAATGTCAACACGGAAACGTCGGAAAATTTCTTTCCTTATGTTTCTTTGTGCTATATTATAAAACAAATATAAAACTTTTTCCGTATTGATATACAGTTATCTCAGCACTCGTGGAAATTGGGAAAACTCGAAATTGCTTGAAAACACTTCACCCTTCGGGCGTCATGTTTCCACACAATTTCTCGTTTTCCCAATTTCCACTCGTGTTGATATTTAACAATCATTCGCCGAAGGCGAGGTGATTGTCGGGGATAATAATTGTTTTAGTATTTTTACACAATTAAGCTTTTGTTTTTTTGAGACTGAATTTATTTTAATTTTCACAAAACGGGTAGCCACTACATTTTGAAAATCTCTGTTTTAATTAATTGTTATATTCACCTCTAGGTGAATATAACAGCTTATTAAGTCAAATTTGACCAATCAATGTGTAGGATTTGTTATGTTCACTTGTGCAAAAATACTAAAACTGTATATCAACACGGAAAACGTTTTATATTTGTTTAATATTACATGCCATGCAGATCTGCCGTACCCTGGGAGAAGTGCCTGATTTCCCCTCGTGTAGAAAATAAGGCTCTGCCGTTTTTGTGTTTTTGTGTTCGTCCAAAATTCTGGACGAAGTAAACCGGACAAACCGGTAATAAACCAGTTCTAATCGGTTTTGAATGCGCGCCTTCCTTTCGCATGTAAACCGATGACTACAATTTGATCCCACTATACAGTATATTTACAAAATTTAAAACTTTATACTTTATAACCGAAATTTGGCTGACAATAACTTAAATATGCTGACAAGTAACGTAAGATAAAATAAACTAGCAAGTTAGCAATTGTAAATATATAGTAATATTTTGATTTCACAACTGACAAGTGACAAAGCTATCGATTTGGAAATGTTTTTGTATTGTTTATACTGTCGTAATTGTACAGCAAGTGCAGTTGCACGCGCCCAGCATGTAGCGATAACTGCATGTTATTGGTTCTCTAAATTTAGCAATCATTCTAAAAATACAAGTGGTCTTTGACATATTTTGACATAATATTGGAAACAGAGGATGCGCGACACAAATTAAACGCAAAAATGGCAGAGCCTTATTTTCTACGCGAGGGGAAATCAGGCTCTGCTCTCAGGGTAGATCTGCCGTGACCGTGGGATATTATAATATCTCACGTTGCATTGCGTACAATAGCGAGCTTAAGCATGCAGGACGGCAACGCGGCGACGATGGCCAAAACAAATTCCTTCAAATAAATGATAGTAAAGAAAACTTGTCGTATATTATATGGTCGTATGAATTTAATACAGTATAAGAAGTTGAAAACATTGGCTTTATGTTTGGGAAGAGTTTTACTGAACCGAATTTTAAGTTGCACTTGTTACGGCTTCAAATGCAGGCGTTGTATAAACGACGTGAAAATCTGTGATTTGCCGTTGTAAACAGAACGAAAACTACGTCTGAAACTCCACCGGGGCTTTAATTATTTCTTTCTTTTCATTGACGCATTGTATTGGTTGCCGTTGTCGTCGCGTTGCCGTCCTACATGCTTAAGCTCCCTAATATAATCACTGAACGTAAGATCAGTTTCGCCGAATCTTCCGAGCGGAGGGTCTGAAAATGACATATTATAATTGACTGAAGGTTTCCTGCTTGCTCCCTCTTTACTCTCTCCTAATACCATACCTTTTTATTGATGATAATTAATCCTTTAAGAAATACTATAACTAGTGCCAGGCTCCAACGGACCATTTAAATCTGCCTCCTCCGCAGGCCCACGCTGTGTCATGGGAAGGTCATGATTTCGAGAGGGCCTGCGGAATCTTGTAAAATGTATAAATGTTGTTTTGAAGCTGCTTTGTTAAAGAAGGCAGTTTTATCCATGCAACGTTGGTGTGGACAACAAACCTTATCGTTAAAAAATTATTCCTTCCACGTCCTTAGAGTCGCCATTTTAATTTATAAGTTTCACGCCGCTTTTTTATAGCCTATTTTTATTCAAGATTATGTATAAATTTACTTGCTGACGTGACGCCAGCGTCATTTTTTTACAAGATTCCGCAGACCCTCGCCATATTGTGTGCGACCTTCCCATGATGCAACGAGGGCCTGAGAAGGAGGCAGCATTTAGATATCAATCGTATAGTTGATCTCCGTTTTCGTGAAGTTGGATTACTTGTATTTATGCCATCACCAAGTATACATGTTTCCACCATCACCGCTGGATGTAACTACCTGCAGAGATAAAAAGTTTCGGGTTGGTTGTGATGGTGCAGGTTGTTTATCATCTTTTAACTTCAAAGTCATACAACGTAGAAATATCTATAAATCAAAATTATGCCTCATCTGTGACCAAATAATTGTAAATTAGCAATACACTTGATGTCCGCAGCATTGTAAAAATTGTAAATCCAAATGGAGACGAATGAGTATCCTGAACAACCAGGAAATGCGAGAATTTGGTGTGTTTTCCTCCAATATTGCCGTTCTATAAATCTGAAGATATTGATTGTAGTAGTTGTTGTCGGAGTTGTTGTCTCAGTTAGCGGAGCATTGGGCTAGTATTCCAAAGGTCGTAGGTTCGATTCCCACCGTGGCTGGGCATATTCTTCAAGCTCGTCCGGCGTGGATATACACTCAGAGTAACATCACAAACATTATATTAACCTGAGTACACAACACCAACACAGAAAAAATCATATTACTAGATTACAATAGTATCGAAGGAACTAGATTCTGTTCCGAAATATCACTTACTCGAATCGTCCTGACCGCGTAGCTCAGTTGGCGGACCATTGGGCTAGTATTCCAAAGATCGTAGGTTCGATTCCCACCGTGGCTGGGCATATTTTTCAAGCTCGCCCGGCGTGGATATACACTCACAGTAACATCATAAACATCATATTCACCTGAGTACACAACACCAACACAGAAATGGAATTTTCAGAAAAAATGTAAGTGTACTTGGTATTTCAGCTATGGCCTTCTCTGCTGCTCCTGTAAGGAAAATGTAGATGTATCGAAATGTAAAATTCATTGGTGAGGGTACTGTGTAGTTCTGTACAATATTGTCACCTTTTAGAAGCAATTGGTTAGGGCAACCAATGAGTTGTCACAGTGTCACATGCAATGATTGGTTATTTTAATCAAGTATGGTTTTACAGTGTATGGACTGTTTTCAGTTTGAAGCTGTGCAGATGCAAATTCATGGTCGACAGTGTCAAATACTCAGGGACGAAACTTGAGGGAGGAGGTATGGGGGTGTGGCACTCCCCCCCCCCCAAAAAAAAAAA